CAAACTAAATATTTTCTGATACTGGAAAACACAGCTTAGTGCAAATAAAACATTTTAATGTTGGAAGACATCATCCTATCTCAACTTAAAAAGGAGTTATTCAATAAATCAAGCAGCAAAGCTGAGTTCCTTCACTTCTAAACTCACACATTAATTCAATATTTATAGTGCACCTTGGAAACAGTATGTATGATTTCTGTAGGAGTATAAAGAGTTTTTAAGGACTAGAAATGGTATATACAAAAGAGCATTTCTCAATATGTGGGATCCCTGGAACACTGCAGAATTGTTTCTTTTTTTTAGGGAAAATATCAGTGAGATTTATATTTACAGATATAAGAAAAAATTTAAACACATCAGTAGCACGGAAGGATGATATTCAAAGTATATACTGACACAGTAGCAGCATTTACCAACTAATTACCCCATGTGTGCTCTTTTCTATATGTATGTTTTGCTATCTATCTGATTATACTTTCACATTTTTCTGTAATGACATTCAATTTTTCTAAGTTTGTATACTGTTTAAGATATATTATACAGTTTAAGATACATGTACAGCCATTGCTGAAAACAACTGTGTACATTTTAGTCTACTTTATTAAGCAGGAAAATGTGTGCATGCTAAGTCACTTCAGTCATGTCCAACTGTTTGTATGGACTGTAGCCTGCCAGGCTCCTCTGTCCATGGGGATTCTTCAGCAAGAATCCTGGAGCAGGTTACTGTTTCCTTCTCCAGGGCATCTTCCAGACCCAGGGATGGAACCCGCATCTCCTACATCTCCTGCATTGGCAGGCGTGTTCTTTACCACTAATGACACCTGGGAAGATAAAGGATGAATGATTCCACTGTTAGTAAGATATCAGTAGGAACAAGCGAGTTGGGAGAAAAGTCTTCACTGAAAAGTAAGGAAGATTTCCCTGAAAATAGGAATGCAGAGAAAAGAGAGAAGCTGAAAAGAACTGATACCCTGCCATGCAGAACATGTTTCAGGGTGCAACCGCAGAATGTTACTTCTAGTGACACTCTGAGACACAAACTGATGCTTCAATTTCCTCCTTGAGGAATTAAAGTTTAGGACTCAGAAGTAACCAGTGTCCATTAGCAATATTTACCCTCAAACTTCTCACGTGCTAAATCAATCTGTGGCAAAATGCCCAGATTTGGACAAATCCGAATGTGGATTCGGCCTTGTAACCATGGGTGAAAGATTAAAAGGTCAGGTGAGGATTTTATCATTTGATTTTTTTTTTTTTTAATTCTTTCGTCACTGAACCCTAGTAAACCCTGTTGCTTAATTTAATTGGCCCAGAGAAATAGGTTAGGGAGTATGAGAAAGTTATTTCCCTGCTATCCTAACTCTAGTTAACTTAGTGGGCATCTGAAATAAGTAAATATATAGTATGATTCCAAGGGTAGTAAAATACGTTCTTAGAGGACATATTTAAAAATATTTTTAAAAAGGGCATACTTCAAAATACGTACTTAAAATATGTACTTCAAAATGTTAATAGAGATTATGTCTACTGATGGTGAGTTTTAGGAACTACTTTTTCTTTTTTCATTTCTATATTTTCCAAATTTTCTTGGAAAAATACAATGAACATGAATTACTTATGCAACTGTCAAAAATATTATTAAAATTCACAATTTCATTGAGAAACAATGAAAATAGCCTTTGAGAGTATGGCTGACTCTTGATTTAATCCAAAGGGTACATCTTTGATCTTATTGGTATTTCATCAATACACTGCTGCTGCTGCTGCTAAGTCGCTTCAGTTGTGTCTGACTCTGTGAGACCCCGTAGTCGGCAGCCCACCAGTCTCTTCTGTCCCTGGGATTCTCCAGGTAAGAACCCTGGAGTGGGTTCATCAATACACTGTAGTTACAAAAAGTGTTCTTTGGACAAATAGATAAAGAAACACACGGAAAGTACCTAGCACAAAGTAGATAATTAGCAGACAATAAGCTATTATTTTAAGTGTAGGTTACAATCTGTACTAGAGGCTAGAGACTCAAGCATTAATAAAATCTAAAATCTGCTCTTAAGGAACTCACAGTCAAATAAAGGAAGCAGATATCCTACCACAATATAATGCAATACAACCTACGCAGTACCTGGGTAAGAACAAAGCAGACCTATCCATTTAATTCTTAAAGCATTTTCTACTTTAAGGACAATCAATCAACAAAAAGCAAAAGTGTTCATTAAAACTTTGAAAACATTAAGTACACTGGTGATCTCATTTTTTCTCATTCAATGCAAAGTTCTATTGCAAAATATGAATGTGACTCCATATATCCATACTTACATTTCTAAACAATTTTATGGCATTCAAAGTGCTTTCTGTACACCTAATCCTCATAACAATCCAACGGGAAGCAAGGTAAGTGGTTTACATTTATAGATAAGGAAACTAAAACTAAAGCTTATTCCCAAGGTTAACTAGTTATAGGTCCAGAATCTGACTCAGGTGATAATGCTTTTATAGAGACATAACAGTACACAATAACAGTTTTTTTAAGTTAAAGCAATTCAGATGTATATACTTTATACACCTATCATGATCAATGTTTTAGTCTTGGAGTGGTCATGCACCTGGGTTACATGAAATAGGTCATTTGCAGTTAGGATGATAGAGCATTAGATCAAATGTTGATGATACGCATGGAGAAATATGCACAGATAACCTCACTTGCTATTACCAGTGTCCAAGAGAAAAATAAAAAGCAAGTAGAAGCTGACTGCTTCCTAGTTTATTATTTTCCAGAAACTTCGTATCTTGAGTTCTAAAGTTGTTTTTAGTAAATATATTCTCTATCACTCTGGTTCAACTGTATTCTTTGGTATACTTACTCAACAAAAAATATATTAAGCACTATCACACAGGACCTTACTAAGTGCTTCAGGACTGTAAACAGATTTCATATCCTAAGGAGTTAACAAGATTATTTCTTCTGAAATAAAACCTAGATCACCCACAATGACAGTTTAGAAAGCTTCTTAAGAGGACATAGTTTTATTTGGGTTTTTAGTAAGCATACTTTTTTTTTTAATCAGTAAACACTGCTTTACTGATTTAAAAATCAGTAAGTAATGCCTATCTCCAGAGTAGGACTACTACCATTGAAAATACTTCTACAAGGACAACTCAAACACAAAAGTTGTTTTTTTGGCTTTACCTACAGTTTACCTCTGTATCTATTAAAATATAGGTAAACCAAATAAGAACATGTCATTTAGCTGGTGATAGATCCCTTAAAATCTCTGACACTTTTCATGAGTGGGAGACTAGCATAACCATTGAAGTCACTCTTTAGTACTCTGTTTATCTTCTTTTTTTCTTTTTTGGCACACCACAGGGCATATGAGATCTTAATTCCCCAACCAGGGCTTGAATCCACGCCCCCTGAATTGGAAGTGCAGAGTCCTAACCACTGGACCACCTGGGAAGTTCTATGTTTGTTTAACTGATAAAACTATACAGATTTTACAGCAGCGTGCAAATGTACTTTTGTGATATTTAAAACCTTATTCCTGGCCTGCAAGGAGATCCAACCAGTCCATCCTAAAGGAGATCAGTCATGGGTGTTCACTGGAAGGACTGATGTTTGAGGCTGAAACTCCAATACTTTGGCCACCTGATGCAAAGAGCTGACTCATTGGAAAAGACCCTGATGCTGGGAAAGATTGAGGGCAGGAGGAGAAGGGGATGACAGAGGATGAGAGGATGGCATCACTGACTCAATGGACATGGGTTTGGGTGGACTCCGTGAGTTGGTGATGGACAGGGAGGCCTAGCGAGCTGCGGTTCATGGGGTCACAAAGAGTCAGACACGACTGAGTGACTGAACTATTACTGGCCAATTTTTGTTAAAAAAAGGAGTCATGGTACTAAATGACATTTTTTACTGTAAACTCCTAGAATTTACCACTTCAAGTAAATTCCAAGCAATTTTAACCTAGTTTAACATTCGGCTCTAAAGGACAGCTAAAACTGAATGAAATAATCCAAACTTACAGCATCTTATACATCATACTTGAAATGAAAATAAAAGCACATTATTACACAATAATGAAGAGGCAAAGATTTGGCCTGCTGTTTGAGAAATGAGAGGGTGAACTGTCTAGGTTCCTTCTGGCAAGGCACTGTTTCAAAAGAAACTTCTTTGTTGTTTTCAAACAATATGGCCCTGTCACAAAACCCAATCATCTTTTTTTTTTTTTTTTTAAATCCACACGTCACTGCTGGGGTGCAAGGTGGAGTTGGGGGAAAAAAAAATAGGTGCGAGGTTTGACGCCTTGGGAATCAGGACACCCCAGTTTCTTGTCCCAGTCCAGCTCAAGCTCTAACTGTGACCTTGGGAAGTGTCCCCGGCTCGGGAACTTGGATTCCCCCTCTTCTCAATTACCCTGCTCAGGAGGAGGGATGGAGGGGTGGAGAACTGGGACCGGCCCCCAGGGACTGCGGATGCCCGGGCTGCACCACGCTCCAGGTTCACGCAGCTCCTCAGCCCTGGAAGCAGTTCGCCCCATCTTCCCAGAAGCTCCGCCACTAGGTTGTCTCGGAACAAGTCTGTTCCCGGGTTCCCCCGGCAGGGTACCCGCGGATCGGCCCGGGGCTCCCCGCTGGTGCCTCCGCTGCTAGGAAGGGACCCCGCGATTCTCCTTCCCTTCGCCGAGAAGCCTCCCCATCTACCGTTCATTCTTGCCCCGGTCCTTCCTCCTTCGGAGAACCCCTGACTTCCCTGCCCCCAAGAGATCCCCCACCTTGGCTCGGTTTCAAGACCCTCTCCTTCCTTCATGCGACCTCCCCTTCACACTGTCTTCACCTCCAGGGGACCCTCAGTTCACACACGCCCATCCTTCCTCAGACTCGCACGTACTTCCACCCGCCTGCCTTTGGCCGAGGAGCCTCAGCTCCAGTCGCGGGGCCGGGGGGTGGGGTGGGGGGAGCCTCCCCCACTTCCGCCATCTGGTTCTGGGGACCCCTCTCACCTCCGCGGTGAGAGATGTGTTTACTGAGGAATCGTTGCTTCTTTCTCTGGTGCAGCAAGGTCGGGTATTTGAGCAACAAGAATGAAGTCACCAAGTACCCTCCCAGGGTGGAGAGGAGGTAAAAAGCCGCGGTGGACGACATCTCAGCCCCCGTGTGAGGAAGCCTCCCGCAGCCTGGCCCTCTGAACTCCGCTGGTACGGTCGCAACGGCTGCGGAGGCGGCGGCGGCGGCGGCGGCGGCTGCTCGAGGTCTGCTCGCCCCCAGCCGGCGCCCGCGGTGCAGCGCACTTGTCGGCGCCGGCCCGCCGCGCACGCGCAGCCGGCCTGGGCGAGCAACAAAGAGGCTCCGGCACGCAGGCGCGCTCCGGTAGGAGCCTGGGGCGTCTGTCACCTAGCTTTGTGGTCCGGCTCGCGGCCCTATAAAGGAGAAAGCTTGGAGGCTCGCCAGTGCCTCTGCCATCGTTCCCACACGAAAGGCTGTTCAAGGAGAGCCTTCAGGAAGGCCTGACGTAATTAGGAAGTTCACGTCATGAAAGAGTCACTCCGGGGCGCGTCGCGAGCCTCTGCTGGAGGAAATGCAAAGAACTCTTACCGCAGGAGCAGTTAAGGCTTATTAAAGCAAATAATAAACACACCCATTTGTCCAGCCAAGAGAGAACTTTCTCCGTTGTCGCACAAACCATGCGAGGTGCCAGTTTATCAGTCAAATATTTGAGAGATGGCTCTTCTCACATTTCACTGTGAAATTGCAAACTTCGTGCCTCGTACACGGTCGATAGTCCAATATTTGTGGACTTTTAAGTTTGTTCAAAATTAAGGAAACGTTGACAGTGTTATAGGTTATCACTTCAGTCTTGGGAAGACTGGAAACTAAATTCCCTTTCATTCTACACATTCCAAACTATAATTCTAAGAGTCACATTTCAGTGCAAAAGAATTAACCCAGGGCTGAGGGAGAAAATTTGGTCATAAGAACAGATCTCCCACAGAAGTAGAAGCCACAGTGATTATTTAAAATCATGTGACTCTGACCCGAAGCAAACTTCTGTTTTCTTATCTGAAAAATGAGGAACATTTTTACTAAATGATAACTTCCAACTCTTTTTGTTAATAAAGACTTCCCAAAGATTCTTGTGTCCTTTAAGAGGAATGTAAATAAAACTTAATTTTATTATATAAATTTAATAAACAAAATTTAGAGGATTCTTGAAAACAAGGGCCTTCAGTAGATTTTAAAAAGTAGCAGAAAAAAGACTTTTACATCAGTTTGCCATCATAGTGGGAGAAGGCAATGGCACCCCACTCCAGTACTCTTGCCTGGAAAATCCCATGGACGGAGCAGCCTGGTGGGCTGCAGTCCATGGGGTCGCTAAGAGTCAGACACAACTGAGCGACTTCACTTTCATTTTTCACTTTCATGCATTGGAGAAGGAAATGACAACCCGCTCCAGTATTCTTGCCTGGAGAATCCCAGGGACGGGGGAGCCTGGTGGGCTGCCATCTATGGGGTCGCACAGAGTCGGACAGGACTGAAGCGGCTTAGCAGCAGCAGCAGCAGCAGCCATCATAGTGAAACAGGAGGTAGATGGGCTCCAGGCTAGGTATTTACAACTGCTCTCCTGTTTACATTTCTTGGGATGAAAAAAAGATGGGCTTCAGGCTGGACACTTAAATTTAGCCTCCAGTTTGCATTTCCTGAGACAGGCGATAGATGGGCTCCCATTTGCCCTCTGAAATGGAAGTAATATCACAAACAGAGTAAATAGCAGGCTTTGTCTCCTGTGTCACCTTAATAGTCATAGCAGCAATGGAGAGGCCTGGTGTGCTGAGATTCATGGGGTCACAGAGTTGGACACAACTGAGCGACTGAACTGAACTGAAACCTTGTTTGAGTAAAGGGTCAGGACATCATATATTTCCCATCCTTGGGGCAAGGGAGACATTTCACAGGTGGAGAAAGGCTCCTTGGGGGTCAAAAAGAAGGTGGCACCACCCCATAATATGTGATGCTAAGGCTCCCACATAGGTCTCTGGGCCGGAATCCAACTTAGAAAAAAGTTGCATACACATACTGGGGAGGGTGCTAGGGTAGGTCAGGTGTGGAAAAAGAAACCAGATGATTGGCCAAAGGTAAACAAAAGCCCAGAACTGTCCTATAAAAATGACTTAACCATGGCAGCATGCTCTTTCTTGCTTCTGCTTGCGCTTAGTCTCCGGTGCTGCCGTGTAGACTGAGTGAAGTAGAACCAAGAAAGAAGTTTTACCTCACCAGCCAATTTTTGGAGGTCTTGTGAGATCAAACAAGACCAATAAAAAAAAAAAAAAAAACGACTTAACCACCTCTGTACTGCACTCCTCATTGGGGAGGACACCCACACCCTTTCTCTCTAGGTGTGCATCTCTGCCTCGCTTCTGTCTTAACTGTTTCTCTCTGTGCTCTCCCATTTGTTGTGCTGTCTCTGATAATAAACTTTGTACTTGCATTTGCCGTTTTTGCCTCCGTGAAAAATGCATTTTTCACTGGGTTCAAGAGCCAGGGAAATACAGCGCTTCCAGCCTCTAGCCCTTGCTGGTCTGGTAACTAGGATTTCTGGTTTTCATCTGTCTCGTAAGTGTATGCTTTTCGGTTTTTATCTCATCACAACAAAGGTTTGGAGTGACGGACATTAAAGCCCTCAGCGTGTCACAGCCCTCGGGTCTTGGACAGACCGTGTTATAGCTCTCAGGTCTCGAACGGACCGTGTTATAGCTCTTAGACAAATCAGTGTTATAGCTCCGTGTTACAGCTCTATTTTATTTAGGTAATAACAGGTAAATCCATCCTCGAGGCGTGAGGGCATGCTGACCCAAAGACGGGAAGAAAAAAGAGCCCCAGTGCATGGGAGGGAGGGAGAGAGAGAGAGAGAGAGACAGACAGACAGACTGAGAGAGAGCTTTGTCTCCTCTTTTTATGTTTTTCTCTCCCTGGGCCTGTCCTATGTAAATTGGGTCAGCCAGGAGTGCTGTTTGTTTTACCTGAGGTCCTCATTCCAGTCCTCGGACCTTCCTTTGTTCTATTTTCGAGGACTTGTCCCTTCCAGGTCTTTTAGCCACCGCCATTTTGAACTCCTTTTCCCTATTTTAACTACCTAACACATCCATGCTACCCAGTTTAAATTCCTGGGCAGGGAATTAAGCTCTCACTTCATGCCACTGCTCACTACTGCTTCTCCGAGATCAAGAGTAGTCTTATTTTGCAGTTTAACACCAGTATAGCCAAAGAAATGATAAAGCTTTTATAGAAGACAGAGAACTAAGTATAAAAAATTCCAAATACAAGCAAACTTAAAAACATTTTAAGGAAATGTTTTGAAGTATCACATTTCACATTTAAGCCCTTGATACATCTGAAATTGACTTTGATGAAAGTTGTGAAGTAGGAATTTAATTTTTTCCCCCATATGAATAACTAGGTGTCCCTACATCAGTTTGTTTCTGTGTTCTGTGAGCCAGTCCCTGGGCCCATAGTACCTTGTCTTATTTAACATAATCTTTATGTATGTTATTACAAGTTCTTTTTTTTTTTTTTAATTTAAGGAAACTCACAAGTTGAAAACTACTGCTTTGTTAGGAATTAGGGAAAGTTATCTGTTTAGGTCTGTCAAATTATATCCTATAGATTAGCTGTGCTCATGTTTCTGTTTCCCTCTTCCAAAATGTCACTTGACAGCAATTTTCTTTAAATTTTATGACTATTTTATGATTATTACAGACATATGTATATGATTAGGGCTTCCCAGGTGGCTCAATGGTAAAGAATCTGCCACCAAACAGGAGACTCAGGTTCAATCCCTGGGTCTGGAAGATCCCCTGGAAGAGGAAATGGCAACCCACTCCAGTATTCCTGCCTGGAAAATCACATTGACAGAGGAACCTGGCAGGTACAGTCCATGGGGTCACAAAAGAGTTAGACATGACTTAGAGATTAAACAAGTATATGATAAATACTACCAGGAAAAAAATATGTAACTAAGACTAACCTTCAACTATAGAGGCAACAGTGGCTTAGCCAGATAAGAGATTTGAACTTAGAACCCATAGACACAGCTATACCATTTACAAACTGAGTGACCCTAGAGATATCACTTCGTTTTAGACTCACATTTAGTTAGTTTCAGTTTTAGGGCACATCACTTAGTTTTAGTTTCACATTTATAAAACTTGGAATAATAATATCTAACCTCAGAGCAGTGTTTTGAGGATCTAAGGAAGTAAAATGAAAGTATTAAAAGTAACCTAGAAAAAAATAAAAATAAAAGTAACCTAGAGAGTTCCCTGGTGGCCTACTTGTTAGGATTCAATCCTTTCATTGCTGTGGCCCAGGTTCAATTCTGCAAGCTGCACAGCATAGCCAGTGTAAAAAAAAAAAAAAAATTGTGTGTGCGTGTGTGTATATATATATATACCCTATATAAGTAAAGCATTATGTCAAAAGATAGAATTCTTTCCTTCTGTGGACTTAAAAAAAATTCACAACATAAAAGTTGAGAGTTATGTTTTATTGGGGGTGGGGGATGGGGGGGAAAGAATTTTAAGACTTCAAGCCCGGGAGATAACCCTGTGAGAATTGCTCTGAGGAGGGGAGGGTTGGAGCCAGGTTATATAGAAGTTTTGCCACAAAGGGCAGATAGTCTGAACCTCAAAAGAAAACCAGATATTCCAAGTTAAAGAATTCAGTGTCTTTCTATATATGGGGAGATGCAAGAGTCTGGCTCACTGAAATCACTTCTTTGATACGTACCTCAGCTACCTGGGGCCAGCATCAGTGTTTTCCAAATGCCCTGAGTTTCCTCAGGGCTCACCATATGCAGTGGCTGCAGACTGATGGCTGCTGGGTGGAGGTATTCTCTCCTTCCTTAGTTCCCTCAGGGCTCACCAGCTCACCATCCACAGTGGCTACAACTGCCAATGACTGTAACATCCTTTGTTTACTGATATGGCAGGAAATATTCCATTTCTCACTTCTCTAAAACATTACCAACAAATCTGGGGACAGTATACAGAATTATTCAAGATAAGTAACCAAGCAGGAGCAACATATGCCTTATTGGAGGCCCAATACTCCAAATGAAACATTAATGAAAGAACAAGTGAAGTGTAACA